ATTTGCATGACAGGTCCCGCCCCTACCCGCGCTCACGCGCCCGTCTTAAGGAGGGCTACGTGCTTAAGGTGGACCGGCGCTAGGCAAACGCGGGAGCCCGCGGCAGGGGTGCGCCCAGCCAAACCTCCGCGCGGGGCCGGGCTTGTCCCGCGCTCCCTCTTAGGGAATTCGGCTCCCTAGCCCCGTGCGCCCGGCTCCTTCCGGAACCTCTGCACGCTGTAGCTCGGCTCTGAGGCGGGTGGCGCTTCTCCGCGGACACAGGGAGGAAAATGCATTTCCCGATTTAGAAAAAGAAAAGGGAACCTGAGGGCTCAGACTGGCATTACAATCTCCTCACTTCTGGGATTTTTCCTGACCTTGACCCGAGACCAGAAGTAAGTGGTCACTGCTCTCCAGCTCCCCCCAGCCCACCGCTCGCTTCTGCCTAGGGGCTCTACCCGACCTCTAAAGCGCCTACAGCGACCAGGCTCGAACTTAGGCTGACCACCTGTCATTTCTATTTAGGGCTGGGTTTTCATTGAATACCCAATATGTGCCAGACACTTGTTTCAGGCTCTGACGATATAGTAATGAACAAGTTAAAACCTTTGCCCATCGTAGTTTACAGCCTAGAACCGGAAGGATGGCGATCAGCAGATAAACACATACAGAACAGTTACTGACTCTTTCTGGCAACACAAAGTATTTTGCCTCTGTAAGAACCTAGGCACATAGTCCTGCGTTGTGCCCTTGATAATAAGCTGGTAACAAGTACAAAAAAAAAAAAAAAAGACCATAGGCACAAATCCTAGGCCTTTCAGATTTCCACTGTTAATCCTAGTTCCTGTCTGTAAATGACAGTAAGAATGAATGTTTTGCTTTGTTGAAACAAGGTCTTAGGTAGCCCAATATAGCTTTGAACTTTCAAAATCTGAGGCTGACCTTGAACTCCTGATCCTCCTCCTTCCTTCACCTCCCAAGTGCAGGGTTTATAGGCACATACCACCATGCCTAGGTTGACTGTTTTTTTTAGTTACAGTTTTAGTTTTTAAGTTGATGGCCGAAAACATGATAACAGCACCACCTGGCTAAGCATGTGGAAACAATTGGCTTACACACTGAGTGTGACAGGACAACCCTCTGTGAAGAGGCTTTGCTATGGAGTAATAGTTGCCTGCCGCTGCCGGCTCTTTCAGGACTATACCCTTAACCCCAAATTGTGGTGAGTGGCCAGCTGAGGCAGCTGCGGTGGAAACGGAGAGGTGTGGTTGCTGTTCTAGCCTTGAGATCACCGCTTCCTGAACGGCCCTGCTTGGATGTCATTCGGCAGCTGTGTATTGAGTGTGTGAGGATGACCACAGCCCTCCACCCACAGCGGTCCACTCGGTGAAGGGCAGGACATGGAGGACAAATGTCCTTATCTTAGTTGTGGAGCTACACAGAGCAGCAGGACCGCTGGGTCTCCCAGCAAGGCTTCCCTAGGCCCTGGAGACACAGAAAGCCCTTCTCTGCCTCCCTGTACAAATTCCTGTGTTTATTTTTACTTTGGTACACAGTCTGCCAATATAAGCAACAATCGATACCAGAAGCTAAAAGCCTAAACAGAAGGGAACACTCATGGGGTGTTGTGGGGGAGGCTTGGTAGCAGAAGCTGGATTAAATGCTCTGGCATTAAGGGCGAGGGTGTCTGTAAACAGCCTGCTGGAGGAAGTTCCTTGTGAGTAGGTGCCTCACCTCACACACCCAGTGTGTCCAGAAGACTAGGCTCTTAGTGAACAGTAGCCTCAGTTTGGGCATTGGCAAAGACTTCCTGTCCTCCCCCCCCTTGTCTCCTCCAACCTGGAAGGGTTACCTGCATTATTTGAAAGCAACCCCAGGTCTCTGAAAATCTCTTACCAGGCTTCCCCATCATCCCAGTTGTCCACGGGCCCCCTGACTGCCCTTCCTGTCCTTACAAACTTTCCCATTCTATTATCGATCAATTGGCTATTTTTATTTTGCCCTTTTTGCACTGTGTTTACTGGCATGTTGTAGGTAGGCACATAGTGTAAGCAATAGAAGCCAACAAAGGGAAAGAAAAATAATCACTTGAACTACTTTGGTTAAAAGAAGATGTAAAGAAGCAGGGGAAATAAACAAGATAGGAACAATGGTGAGGGTCTGCTGTCTGTTAAAGTCAAGCTAATTCACAATTGGATTTCCACAGTGATTAGGAGAAGAGTTGATTCCATGAAGTAAAGAAATGTAATTTGGAGCTGGGCGGTGGTGGTGCACACCTTTAATCCCAGTGCTCAGGAGGCAGAGGCAGGCGGATCTGTGAGTTCAATGCCTGCCTAGTCTACAGAACGAGTTCCAGGACAACCATGGCTACGCAAAGAAACCATGTCTCAAAAAACTAATGAAACTAATAATAGTAAGAAGAATAAGAATATCTTGCCAGGCAGTGGTGGCGCACGCCTTTAATCCCAGCACTCGGGAGGCAGAGGTAAGTGGATCTCTGTGAGTTCGAATCCAGCCTGGTCTACAAGAGCTGGTTCTAGGACAGGCTCCAAAGCTACAGAGAAACCCTGTCTCCAAAAACCAAAAAAAAAAAAAAAGAATATCTGAGCCTCCCAAGTGCTGGGATTAAAGGTCATACGCATAAATTAAATATATCTAAAAGGAAATGAAATTCCTCTTTGATCTAGCAGAGCAAACAAGACTTGCTTTATAAAAAATGAATGCTCGATGGGACCTGGGGAGATGGCTCAGTTATTAAAGTGCTTGCCATGTTAAGTATGAGGACCTGTGTTTGATCTTCATCTGTGTGTAATAGTGCCTGTCTGTAATCCCAGCACTGGGAGACAAAGACTGGAGGATCCCTGGGGTTTGTCACCAGCCAGTCTGGTCAAATCGGTGAGCTCCAGAGCAAGTGAGAGACCCTGTCTTCAAAAAGTAAGGTGGAGCTTGGTCTGCAGAGTGAGTTCTAGGACAGTCTCCAAAGCTACAGAGAAACCCTGTCTCGAAAAACAAAACAAAAACGAAACAAAACAAAACAAAAATGCCATAAGAAAAGTAAGGTGGAGTAGATATAAGATTTTACCTGATGTTGACCTCCAAACTCCATGGATGTACACACATGCACACGGATTAAATAAAGAAAGAAATGGTAATAAAAGAGATGTCAAAAGAACTCAGGCCTGTGACTCGGTGGTTGTGGCTGTCAGCTTGCATCTCTAGGAAAGGCATCTGCCTTCATTTCTCATAAATACAGAAAAGAATCTATGGCATATAGCATCAGGAAATTTAAACCTGGATGGCTGTGTGGCTCACAGCAACTAAACTGTGAGAATGAAGAAACTTTTCTCTTTGGGGACAGAGAAAGACCTTTGTCTCCTCGCCTCAGGGTGGTCTGTCCTTACTCATCGGAGTTGTCTCCTTTTGCAAGTAAGGAATTTGGGGGAAGGTCCTCCTTAGGCGATGAGCATCTCAAAGCATTCCGTTCATGAGCTCCTTGGAGGTGGATGGTCCTTTCTGAGTGTAGACCCTACGACACTGTGTCTGCCTCTCCCGCGGTTGCAGCCACTTCTTAGTCCTAGGCAATGGATCTACCTTAAATGGTGTCAGTCCTTTTCTTGCCCCTGGCTTCACACCAATGCTGGGGTTTGAGTGATAAAGGACTCTGAATTGGTGAACCATACCCTTCCAAGCTAGATTCTTCCTCTTTTCACCTTCTAGGTTCCCAAGATGGAAAAACTGTGAAAAATTAAATAAATCTGCCTTTCTGCTAATGATGCCCAGAATCTGCAGCCTGCCCTGAGCTCACACTGGAAGTCAGTTGGAATGTGTCATGGACCCTAGAGTGGTGTAAGCCGTTGTCGGTATGTGTAGCAAGTCTGCGCGCTAGCCCCCTCGTAAGCCTACATATGTCCTTGTTGTTCATAGGACATGTCCAAGCCATTGTATTGTCTCAGGAGGCAAGGGACCTTTCTCCATGTATATGGGGACAAAATGAGCTGAACCTTAGCTCAAATCCCAACTTAAATCACAGCAAGTGAGGGCATGGTTACCTGGGTATAGCGAGTGTCATGATTTCTGACTTCACTGAGTCAGAGAATAAGGTGAAAACATCAGGTTAGAGGGCCATACCAAGGAAAGGATGTGCCTCACGCGGGAATGCCAAACCACAAAGCAGAGAGACAGTTGGTATTAATTGGGGAAGTAGGTTTCAAAGGCCCCTTGGGCACCTGGCATAGTACTCTCCTTGGGGGCAGAACCACAAGAGGCTGAATGCCCCGGTGTTGGGGGTCAGAGTTCTGCAGGTACACTGGGGGCTGGTTCAGCTGCTGACTACCCATGAAGCCTGGGTTTCTGGAACATTCTTGAGTGCTGTGTGGTGATGCTCGGTGAAGTCTTCACTGGCTATGACAAGAATTCAATAGATGTGCTTAGTGATAACAATCATGATACAAATGATGTAATCAGGAGTTTTAAAGACGACACGCCCCTGTCCCTTGCTTTGAAAAAAACATTTGCTCTTATTATTTAGGAATTTTATACATATAGTTAATGTATTTTGATCATATCTACTCCCCCTCTCAATTCCACCTGAATCTCCAACCCACAATATGTCTCCCTCCAACCTCATGCTCCACCCCCTTTTTAATAAGCCTCAGTGTCAGATTAGTGCTATCCATATGTACTTGGGTGTGGGGCTGTAGCCTGGAACATGGGGAACCTACCAGTGACTGCACCCACCAAGAGATATTTCCCTCCCTTCTCTACCAGCTTTTAACTACCAATAGTTTCTCAGGTGGGGGTGGGGGATCTCATGAGCCTCTCCTCCATTAGTTCCAAAAATTGCATGGCTTGTTCTTGTCCGGTAACCGCAAGTGCTATTAGTTCTTGAGTGTAGTGAGCATGTCATCTCCAGAAGATAGCATACCACGGCTCTGCTCTCCACGCTCCTGCTTTAAAGCTCTCCTAAGCCTGAGCCTTAGTGCTGCTTATGGAGGAGGGAGTCATTAGTATACATGTCCCATTTAGAGCTGAGCGCTCAGTCACTCACTCTCAGCACTTCGCTTACCTCTGAGTCCCCTCGCAAGACACTTCCCCGACAAAGGAGAGAGCAGCACAGATCTATGGGTATACACATAAATATTTAAAAGGCAGTCCGGCAGCATGGTCATTTAGCAAAACAATAATAGTAGGTTCCTCCCTAGATGCCCTCATTCTTTTTTTAATCACTGTGTGACCCCATCTACCTCCGGCCACACAGTCTTCTTCTTCCCTTTTCTCCAAAGGGAGATCTGTAGAGAATGGTGGGGCAGGAGGGAGAAGCTGAGAGAAAGGTCACATAGGACCAAACAAGATCACATCTGGACACTGGCCTCTGGGGAAGAGAGCAAGGAAGATGGAGTGGCAGTGGTGGTGCTGGGTAGAAGTGAGCTGGAGACAGGTCTTTAAAGGGGTCAGAATCTGGAAGTCTATGCAAATCAGGGAGAGAGAAGCCCACTGTTCAGCATCCAGGAGAGCCCAGCATCCAGCCTACCATCCAGCATCCAGGGGACCCCAGCATCCAGTCTACTGCCCAGCATCCAGGAGACCCCCAGCATCCAGCCTACCGTCCAGCATCCAGGGGACCCTATTTGTCCAGAGCCCCTGTAAAGCTCCAGATCTTTGGTCACATGGACCCGAGGGTCTCTATAGACCCCAGGACACACTGTCCTCTTCTCTCTGCTGTCTACTGCCACCTGTGCACTGGAACACCCACTGTCCCCAAGTCTGGTTACCCCAGCAAGATTTTTCTTCTGCTTCTGAAAGCACACAAAGATTGTCTGTCTGTCTGTCTGTCTGTCTGTCTGTATGTATGTATGTCTCTATCTTTTGATTCTTTGGTATAGGGATCAAACCTAAGGTTTTTACTTGTGTTCTAACATTGGGCTTCATCCCTAGTTCTTTATATATTCTTGAAACAAGTCCTCTGTTCTAAGCTATGGTCTACACCATGGTCTTCTATCCAACGGGTTATCTTTTTCTTGTTGGTGATAGGCTGGCCTTGAACTCAATACCCTCGGCCACCAAGCACTTGAGTGCTGGCATTCCAGACTAGTGCCATCACACCCTCCTCTTCAGGGTGCTTTGGTATCTGGTGCTGAAGAGGGAACACAGGGCCTCACACTTGTAAAGAAATGCTCTACCACTAAGCTCTACCCGCAGCCCTGACCTTTTTGTATTGTTAGGGATTAGCTAGTGATGCTAGAGAAGAGGAAAGACTGAGATAACCAACCTGACTGTTTACAGAGGATTCAAAGGGGAGTGCCTGGGATCACCGCTCCCTGGCACCTCTGACCTTTGTGTGGATTTGAAGCTGATCATGGGTTCCTTCATTCCTGACCTTGACAAGTCTCACTTTCTCAAGCTTCTTATCCCAAATGATCAACAGATAGAGGCAGCCTTGCCTGGAAAAGATAAGAGAAAATACAAAGGGCAGCGTGCTGTAGGGCCCCCTGATCAGTGAGCCTTCCCGAGGTTTACACCGTGCAATTCGGTGCCTGATTGCTTTGCCTAGCATATGCCAGGCCCTGGGGCTCAATCTGTGGCGTGGAGAAAAGGAGAGCAGAATACCAAGAGAGTTATTGTAAGGATTAAGGACCAGTCCAGTGCCCACCTGGCTTTGGGTAAAATTAAATTCAAAGAAATTTCACAGAAGCTTCTTCCATTTTTGCAATGCCTGGCAAGATAGAAGCAGTGTCTCTCAGCAGATCCAGCACTCACCAGCATGGCTAGTCCTGCGAGCCAGCTTCTTCTAGGGACTCCCTGTTTCTGCCTTTTGCGGGCACATATGGGGCCTTTGCCATTTCCATGAACCGTCTCCCCAGCTTTTAAAATATTCTTAAGCCCGGCATGATAGTACATGCCTTTAATCCCAGTACTCAAGAGGAAGTACTCTGTAGACCAGGCTGGCCTCAAACTCAGAGACATATCTGCCTCTGTCTCCTGAGTGCTAGAACCACTTGGCCACCACCACCCAGCTTAAATCGATGTCTTCAACAATCCACATCAAGAATAATACTGGTCTCATGTGTTGCTATGAGCATCCTATTGGAGCTGCCCTTGACCCTGGGAAAGAGGATTAGAATGTTCTCTTTGCCAGTTCTCTGCCATTGGTGTCATTGGCACACTCATAGTGTGCTGGCTAGTTTCACGTCAACTGGACAAAAGTAAAAAATCATCTGAAAGGAGGGAACCTCAACTGAGAAAATGCCCCCATAAGATCTGTCTGTAAGGGATTTTCTTAATTAGTAATTGATCCTGTCCATTGTAGGTGGTGCCATGCCTGGGCTGGTGGTCCTGGGTCCTATAAGAAAGCAGGCTGAGCAAGTCAGTAAGCAGCACCCCTCCATGTCTTCTGCACCAGCTCCCGCCTCCAGGTTCCCGCCTGGCTTGAGTTCCTGTCCTGACTTCCTTTGATGATGATCTATGATGTGGAAGCATAAGCTGAATAAACCCTTTCCTCCCCAAGTTGCTTTGGTCATGGTGTTTCATCACAGCGATAGTAACCTAAGACACGTGGTAATTTTACAATGTGGCAATCAATCACCTCGGGCAAATCAATGAGGCAAGTTTTGATTGTGTCCCTGCCCCACCCAGAAATCAGGGCATGAGATCTTCATTCCCAGGTGTCCAGATTTCCTCAGGTTTAGCTAATGATTGCCACCACGCAAGGTCTTCGGAGAGCCTGTAGTGTGTGTTGCTCGGCCTCAGGGCCTTTTACACAAGAGGCCTGAATCAGAGGCAGGCTCTGTCCTAATCTAAATTCTTGGCTGAACAGTCCTTCCTGGGGCTATAGTTTGGGTGTGTCCCCTGGAGTTCACGTGTTGGAAATTCAGCCCCCAAAGTCATGTGTTGATGGTATCTGCAAGTAGAGACTTTGAGAAGGAATTAGGATTAGGCAAGATCACTATGAGGGCAATAGAATGAGGGCACTAGTAACTTTAGAAGAGGGAGAGGGCCTGGCATGCTTTCAGTCTCCCCATGGCATTTCTTCTGCCATGTTATGGCACAGACACAGGCTCTCACCGGTTGCTGAGAACCTGCTCTTGGACTTCTCCCACCCCAGAGCCATGAGTTCAGTGAACATCTATTCTTTATAAACTAACTGGTCTCAAGGAATTTGTTATAAGAACAAATAAACGAAGATATTAGTCAACCAGAGGGGAGAAAATACAATTAGAAGGAAAACGCTAGCTTAGATTGAATTGCAGGGGGTTACTTGCCTGTCCTCTCCATGGCTCAGTCCACTCCTGCCCTTGGGGATGGGTGGGCACCTCTTTATCTTATCTGATGTCTTTTCCTTTTTTAGATTTGAGTGTTTGCCTAACTATATGTCTGTGCACCATGTATGTTCAGGGCCTACGGAGGAGCAGAAGAGGGTATCAAGTCCCCCTGGCCTGGAGTTACAGACTGTGAGCTTCCCTGTGGGTGCAGAGAATCAACTGATAAATAAAAACAAATACTGGAAAATGGCTTTTGCATTTATTTATTTTAGTGTGTGTATATGTGTGTGTGCTGCTACACATGTTTGGAGATCAGAGGACAACTGATCTCCAGAGCTGGTTTTCTCCTTCTGCTGTGTAGGCACTGGGGCTTGAACTTAGGTCCTGAGGCTTGGCAGCAAGCACCTTTATCCACTTAGTCATCTCTGTGGCCCCTGTATATAGTAATGAAAAATTAAGAAAACTAGTCATTATTATTTGTTTCTTTTCTTTGTTCCTTATTACATGCCTTGCCCCATTGGCAGCACAAATCTTTGCTCACTTTACATCATTTTTATGTGTTTTTAATTTAATTCAATTTAATTGGTTTTTTTTTTCCCAAGACAAGATATCACTCTGTAACTCTAGCTGCCCTGGAACTCTCTCCGTAGACCAGGCTGACCTTGAACTAACAGAGATCTGCCTGCCTCTTCCTTGTGAGCGCTGGGATCAAAAGTGTGCACACGACACTTTACCTTATTTTAGAACAAGGTAGAGTTTTCATTTCTTTCTCCAATGGAGATTTAGAAAGCTTAAGAAACCTGTTAAGGCTTACATAGAAGTAGATTTTGACCCCATTTATGCCTGTCCTGATTCTAACCCTTCAGGACCCCTACACATCTTCCTTGTGTTCGAGGAACAGAAAAGTAAATACTTTTTTGAGGAATTTCAACTTTTTCCCCCATGTAAAAGTGCTTAAGCGATTTCTATCAAATTTCTCCTGAAAATTTGGAAGGACCCCACTGCTTTACTGTTATTTTTAGCATTAAAACCCCAGTCAAGGCTGAGTGTGGCAGTGCCCAACTTTAATCCCAGCACTCATGAAACAGAGGCAGGTGGATCTCTCTCAGTTTGAGACCTGTGAGTTCTATGGCAGCCAGAGCTACATAGTGAGACCCTGTCTCAAAACCAAATGAACAACAATAAAGCTGGCCAAGGGTTGGAGAGCTGAGTCAGCTGTTGAGAGTGTGTTCTGCCTTTGCAGATGACCTGAATCAGTTCCTAGTTCACCTCAGGAAGCTCACGGTGACTCCAGTTCCAGGAACTCCGATACGCTCTCTGGTCCTAGCAGGCAACTACACTGTCATGCATGTACCTATACACAGACACACATACTTATACGTCATTTTTAAATAAGGGGCTAAAGAGATGGCTCAGTGGTGAAGAACACTTGTTGCTCTTGTCAAGGATCCAGGTTCAGTTCCCAGCCACCCACATATCGACTCACAACCATCCAGAGCTCCAGGGATCCAACAGACACCCTCTTCTGATTTTTGTAGGTGCCAACCATGTACATGGTATATATGCATGGAGGTAAAACATCCACATGCAAAATAAACATATAAGAAAAACATATAAATCTATTTTTTTAAATTAAAACCTTTTTTCTCTTTTCCTGTAACACGACGGCCGGCTTGTTGGGGTTTCTGTCCCGCCCAGTACCCCAACAAGCTTGCAAATCCCAAGGAAAATCAATCACACAGAGATCTCTATAAGTTATAAAGCTGATTGGCCCATTAGCTCAGGCTTCTTGTTAACTCTTATAGCTTATATTAACCCATTATTCTGATCTATGTTAGCCATATGGCTTTGTACCTTTTTCAGCAGTCAGCTTACTTGTTGCCTCTTCGGTGGGCTGGGCAGGAATGGCAGAGGGAGTTTCCTGTTTCCCAGAATACTCCCGTTCTCTTTGCTCCCCCTCTACTTCCTGTCTGGTTTTCCCGCCTATACTTCCTGCCTGGCCAATCAGCGTTTTATTAAAATACATGATTGACAGAATACAGACAATTCTCCCGCACCATTTTCCTTTTTTTTTTTTCTTTTTCTTTTTTCTTTTTTTCTCATTTTTTTAAGACAGGGTTTCTCTGTGTAGCCCTGACTGTCCTGGAACATTCTTTGTAGACTATACTGGCTTTGAACTCACAGAGATCCAGCTGCCTCTACTTCCCAAGTGCTGGGATTAAAGGTGTGCGCCACTACCACTCACCTCACTCCACTTTCGGTCATCACTGCTTCGATGAGTATAACTTGTCTCCAAATTTTGGGTTTTCTTTGTGGTCTTGTGACTTGACAAGACCTTACTATGTAGCCCTGACAGGCCTGGGGCTCATTGTAACCCTTGAATTTGGGTTAATCCTACAATTTCTGCCTCCTGAGAGCTGGGACTATAGGTGTACCCGGGCTGGGCAGATGGTGGATCCTTAAAACAGTTATTTATGTGAATATGTATGTCCCTCTACGTAGTCCTAGGGCAGAGCACTAAGTCTGCCGAAGCAGAGGTTTGATGGTGGCATGAGGTGACAATCTCTTTCTTTCTTGGGTCACCCCCACCTCTTGACTGTGGGAGTTAGTTTTGTTGTTGTTGTTGTTTGTTTGCTACATAGCAAATTACTGCCCCCTCCAAATTGAGTGGCTCAAAACAGTAAACATTTATTAAGTCAAATTCCCGTGGGTCAGGAATCAGGAAACAGTTTATCTGGGTGGTTCTGGCTCGCAAATTGTACTCAGGGCTGTCTGGAGCTACTGTTATCTGAATGCATTGATGGGGGCTGGAAAATCCATTTCCAAATTCTCATCTCTGGCCACCGGTAAGAGGTTATAGTTTTGCATTATTCTGTCTGTTCGAAGGATTAGGTAACTGGCTTTCCCCAGAACAAGTGATCCAAGAAGGGGATTGGTGGAAAGATGAGGTTTATTTTGTGATCTTGCCTCACAAAAGAACAAATCACTACTTACTTCCTATTAAATTCCTATTTCGTTGGTCACATGGATCGTAGCTGATATTCTGGAGGGAAGAACCCACATAAAGACCCTAAATTGAAAATAGCCATCAGGGATCTGGCTCTCGCAGGATATACAGAAACATCCCCTTCACTGAATGTTTGATTGTTTTTTGTTTTGTTTTGTTTATTCGAGATAGGTTCTCCTTAAGCCTGGCTGTCCTGAAACTCACTGTGTAGGCCAGAATGTCCCCAAACTCAAGGAAGGCCTCCTGGCCTCGGCTTTCCGAATGCTGGGCCACCATGGCTAGCTCAGGCTTGAATCTTAAACGTCCCCCATGGGCTCACATTTTGAATAACCAATCTCTATTGGTGGTATCATTTTAATGTAGAGGCTGCCGGGCCTTTAAGAGGTTGGGCCTGGCTAGCGGAAGTAGGTCAAGAAGGTGGGTCTTCGAAGAAGGTTCTATCTGATTCTCTTCCAGCTTCCTGTGTGCATCATGTGAGCAGCAGCTACCACATGTTTCTGCTGCCGTGCCTTTCCCACCGTGATGAACTAAAACAAATCCTTCCATTACCTTCTGTCAGATACTCTGTTCCAGCAGTTTCGGAAAGGAACTAGAATGCTAACCACAGATCAGCCTTCCTGGGATTTCCCCTCCTGGGATGCCAATAGTTTCTTTTAAAGACTGGAAATTTGACTTACTAGGGTGACGGTTCTCTGCTTAGGTGTCCAATAGGCAAATAAACCTAGACCCACCCGAGGCAAACTGCCACTCTTTCTTTAAGACTGGTAATCCTCTCTTTTCTTTCTGTACTGGATGCTGAATCTAGAGCCTCGTGCACGCTATGTAAGCAACCTGCCATCATGTTACTCCTCCGTTCTCTTTTTACTTAAGAATATTTTCTTTTTGTTGTGTGTATGATATATGTCTGTGGTTTATGTGCATGTGGGTAGGGAGGCTAGAAAAGAACATAGGTTTCATAGTCTATCACTCCCTGCCTTACTGCCCTGAGACAGGGTCTCTCACTGAACCTGTAGCTAGGCTAGCAACCAGCAAGGCCCAGCATTCCTCTAGTTTGTACTCCTCCATAGCACTAGAGGCTTTTTATGCGGCTGCTGAAGAATTAGAGTCAGGTCCTCATCTTCCTTCCTTCCTTCCTCCCATCCTCCCTCCCTCCCTCCCTCCCTCCCTCCCTCTCTCTCTCTCCCCCCCGCTCCCTCCTTTTCCCCCCCCTTTTTTTTTTTTTTTTTTTTTTTAAGATAGGGTTTCTCAGCCAGGCGGTGGTGGTGCACGCCTTTAATCCCAGCACTCAGGAGGCAGAGGCAAGCGAATCTCTGTGAGTTCGAGGCCAGCTTGGTCTACAAGAACCAGTTCCAGGACAGGCTCAAAAGCTACAGAGAAACCCTGTTCTGTCTCAAAAAAAACCAAAACCAACCAAACAAATAAATAAAACAGGGTTTCTCTATGTAGCCATGGCTGTCCTGCAACTTGATCTGTTGACCAGGCGGCCTTGAACTCACAGAGTTCTGCCTGTCTCTGCCTCCCAAGTGAGGTTAAGAGCACAGGCTGCTCTTCCAGAGAATCGAGTTCAATTCCCAGCACCACATGGTGGCTCACAACTGTCTGTAACTCCAGTTCCAGGGGATCTGACACCTTCACACTAATGCACATAAAATAAAGTTAAATAAATTATAAAAGATACTTGTGTATGGAATGTTCAAAAGATAAGTCTCTACACATTTAGTACAGGTGCTATTTATATATTTAGCCATTTTAATGATTCAATCTAGTGCCTCATGCCTACTGGGCCAGTCTTCTTCTGCTGAATTCTAACCTCAGTGTTACCCCATTCACCATTTCACTTTTTATTTTGAAAAAAGGTCTTTCCATGTTCCCTAACCTGGTCTGAAATTGTCTGCTGGTGGCTCAGCAAGTCTTGGACTGTGATCATCTGGTCTCAGCCTCCCAAGTAAATGAAATTACAGATCTGTGCCACTAGGCATAGCCAAATGCAAGATTTTTTTGATGTGTGATGCCTCTCTGTATGCTACGAATATGTTTTATTACCATTGGCCAATAGCCAGGCAGAATACAGCCAGACTGCCAGAGATGCCAGCAGTTGCTGGAGAAGCAAGATGTGAGGTAACAAGCCACGAGTCTCATGATAAAATATAATAGAAATGGTTTAAGATGTAAAAGCTAGTTAGTAAAAAGCCTGAGCTGTAGGCCAAACAGTTTGTAATTAATATCAATT